GGGAGCAAGAGCAGAACAGTATGGTCCCCAATTTACCCAAGAGCCACAGGATGGCAAAGAGTGGTTGTGAAAGGGGGGAAGGTCAGGTGATCAAACTACAGCTTGGTGTTTTAGCTCTCTTCCTTCCTCAGGGGCCTCTAAGGTGGATCAGTGGCCCAGAGGCTAAGGAATCCTTGGCACCAACAGTCCCAAGCTAAGGAAGCAGAGAAGTCTGGGCAGGCTTGCACAGGAATAGGCCGGCGAACAACCCTAGAGTAGGAGAGGGAATGCCCTGGCACAGCAAGAGAGCTGAAACTTCTCTGCTGACCCAACATCCTGGGTACCTGGGAAGCTCTGCGGCAAAGCAGCCCAAGAAATCTGGCTCCCAGAGGGAGGGAGACAGACCTGATCAGCACTAACCCGAGATTATCTCAACAAGGCATTTTATGACTGCAGGGATCCAGAAGTGGGATGTAGGGAAAGTGCTTGTCTCCTCTGTCCTGATTCAATTTCATCAATCATGACAAAGCCAGAGGAACACTGCCTCTGTGCTGACCCTGACCAGGCACAAAATACCCCAGACAGAAGCCTGTGGTGACCTGAAGAGACCACGTCCAGTGGCAACCAGCCATCCACGCCAGGTCTCATGCTCACGCCAAGGACCAGGCAGAGGCCTGACAAGAATAACCCCACACTTTTAAACCGGCACTCAGCAAGTCAAAGAATTTCACCTGCTCATTTTAAACTTTTCCCAAACTGAGCAAACACACACAAAAGTCCCTGTAGCACTTAACACCAGGCTGGCTGGAACAGGCTCTCAGTCGGTTAATAGAAGAGTTTCTTTTTGCAGATAGGAAAAACCCACCAGGCTAACGGCAGATCTACAAACACGTGTTTCAGGAGTAAAGGGGGGAAGGAGAATGCACCACGTGTGACACCCACCAGCACAGTACTCGAGACCACAGTGGGCAGAAGCAGGAACACCTTCCTCGAGGTGAATGCTACATATGAGAGCCACAGACACCCCCACACAATGGACACCATTTGTCCTCAGTACCTGGACAGTTTACCAAGGCCACTAGCCTCCCAACCTTGCTAATGGATGTTGTTTCTGAACCCAGGAGCACTTTTGCATCACGTTTTCTGATTTACTGAAAGGCTTTCCAATGTCTGGTTCTTTATCTCAACCCACTCAACGGGTACACCCCAATTCTGAGCTCTTTGTTGACTTCTGACAATTTCCCACCTATCACAGAAGTGGAAAAACAGTTTCAGAATTTCATTATATCCAAGGATCCAGCATCATATGTTATCACATTAATGAAACCAGGGACAAAATATCAACTACAAAAGTTGGCTCACCTGAGAAGTCCAGTCTGGCACCAAGAAGAAACCTGAATTTAGAGATTACTTACTTGAATTCTGGGAACATCTGTACTTGCTCCAGGAGGGTGGCAGGTGGTTGACACTAGGTTTAATTCTGATCTCGGATTTTGACCTAGGATAGACCACTGGGGAACACTCAGACAACCTACTCCCATGCCAATGTGGGTTCTTTCTTCAAAATAAAACTCAATCTTTACCTTTGTTTGGAGAAGTCGGAGTCAGAGGAAATTCAGAGAGCTTTAAACCCTTGCGTTCAGCTTCAAGCTATTTGATATGCAACCTGGTACACATTTACCATTCAAAGAGCCCCCTTCTGTAAACCCAGTTGGTAGCATTCTACATGGCACAACTGTGTCAGGACTTCACAGAGCTGTTGTGCCTTCCCTCGCTGCCCAATGGGCATCAGATCCACACCCCCCAGAGCCCAAACCAGGAGAAGGGAGGTTAGGGGGAGGGACATTGTTCTATTAGTCAATTCCACAAGTGTTACATTTTGGCTCTGCCACCAGTGAGCTTGGTGTCCAGAGGGCATCTCAGTAACCCCTGCCCCTGTCAGGCATGTTTATTTTCCAGAATGGCACGGTATCCAGCTCCCGAGACAAACTGAAGCAAAAGAAGGCCACGCCACCCAACTCCGATAATCCCACCATGGCCCCAGAGGCAGAGGTGCTGCCTTCCCTACGTGGATTCAAGCTCACTGCTTCCAGTGTATTCTCTCCATGACAACATTCCACCAAGTACTCGTACTAACACATCCCTGTCCCATCACAGGGCTCAGCAAGGTTTACTTCATCCAGAAAGCCAACTGGCCTAGATTACAATTCATTTGCATCAACAGCAACTTTGAAACATTTCCACTGTTTAGTCTTCAGAAATAAGGAGCTGTAGTCCCTCCTCTGGGCACACAGCTGTTTAAGAGCCTCGTTAACAAATCAGAACTTGGGGAGCACCACCAAGCACTGTATCAGAAATTTACTCTCCCCAGGTAAACTGCCTCCTGCACATCCACACACAGGTCAGGTCAGGCCATTATACTGAGCAGAATCTTATTTCTTATCACTGCATATTGGAAGAACAAAAGAACCATGCTCTGAACCCCAACTGGTCTGACAGAGCAATCATGTGTTCAGTCAACCAAGAGTAAACAAGTTTCCCTTGCTTTGAGTACAGGTAGAAAGAGGTGAGAAATACGATAGCAACTTGGAACTTTCAATTTTTTATTTGTGCTGTTCAAGGGAGAAAAACGTTAGTCATTTACAAGACATCACCCATTCATGCCAAGATACAAAAAAGCCAACATACTTACTTTGTAACCACTAGTTTTACATATTTCCAAGACCATTTATGTTGTAGGTAAACAAAATTTTCTGGTACAAGTTTTGTTTGTATCATGCACCAAGACTGAAATTCACCTTTAGAACTGCCAAGTTACTGGAACCAAACATGGCAGAAAATCAAGGGCAAAGTGGGGCTCTCTAGGATCACTCTTTAAGGCTCAATTTTGGGAAAGGAACATGATACAAAGTCACATAACCATCCTTCACATTTTCTAAACAATCACATTATTAAAGACTACATAAAATCTGCAAGTGCCAGCAACTCAAAAAAAACCTCAGTTCACTGTGGCAAATTGCAAATCCTCCCCCCCCATTTATGCCTTAGAAAAACCCAATCTTGTTTCATCATTAGTGTACTAGTCCCCAGTTTCATTCACATTTACAGATCATCCAGTCCAAAGTCAAAGCCAACACCACCCTTCGTTCCCAAATTCACAGCACAAGTTCTGATGGTACTTTATTGAAACTTTACAATGACCCCTGAAGAGTTATATATACATACACACCCTTGCAGCAGGCCAATGAAACCCCACACAAAACCATTAGGAGACAACCTTCTGACAGTACTCGAAACGTCTAGAGAATACCCATCCATCACTGTTTCTGCAATACCATCAGTTGTTTTTTGAAGAATTCCTTTTCTACAAGCCCATGCTGATTCTCTACAGTTTCCGATTCTGTACAGAGTACAAACATCAGCTTCATAGCTGACTTTGTTGCCAAAGGGGTTACTCTTTCCCTTTATAAATGGCTACATTTTAAGAAATTGGACTTCGGGTTTTCTCCCATCTGCCTTTGTCATCATATAAAAAGCCCTCTCCTGAATTCACAAATTCTTGGTCTGGTCGGACCACACTTGTCAAAAACCACTTTTCTCCAAAACCCAAAAGGATCTCCAGCATGCATCCATTACCAGCTAAGTTAGTATTCTGGAGACTTAGATTTCCCTTCCTGGTTCCAAAAGCAGGCTTAGCTTACTTGTGGGCTAACCTCACATTGCCCCCCAACCCACTCCCAACCTTACCAGCCCCCCACCAAGACCCATACCCTTGGCTTCCTTCACTCCTCCTACCATACCCCAAACCCATCCTAGATGCTTCCCCTCCCCCTTAAGAAGGCACCCTTTCCCTACCCCCCCACCAAAAGGCAGCTGGGAACTCAAGTAGGTAAAATACAATTAGGTGACTCCTGACCAGCACAGCCTCACTTAACAGGGTGGCTGAGGTAACTGCCCCCTACTTAACACCCTCTCAAATTGGCCTTCTGTACTTTTCCCTAATTAAGACTAACCCAACCCGGCAGCTCATTTGTTCCCCCCACCTTCCCTCCATATTTAACCTAAATATCCAAAATCCCTCCTGATGCCTAACACCCAAACCCCTTTCACATTTAATCCAGCTCTACCAAGAGCTCACTCTTCCTTTAGCTTTAAAGACTCATCGAATTACACCAGCAGAAAACCATTAGCCACTCTAGAAATGGCTACAGGGTGATGAGGCGTCCATCTCAGCAAGTTCCGACTTTAAGCCAGTTTGTAGCATCGACCAAGTATTACAGCTCAGTCTTCTTGCCGCAAGAAGTTTCTTATCGCCAAACTGGAAATTTACTTATGCGAGGAAGCCTCAAATTTGGAAGACAGCAGCTGACAACGAACCCAAGCCCCACCCCCCAAGATTTTTAAAAGGTCAGCGGAGGGACTGCTCGCCTTATTAACCAAGCAGGGCAGAGCTGCCAAAAGCTCCGGGGCAGCAGCACATCCGCAGCAGATACACAGGGATGTGAACTGGATCGATTTTTTTTCCTGAGGCTGCTCACTGCCAGCTGTGGTCGAATTATCCACACACCCATCTGAAAACTTAAAGGGACAGCAACCTCAATTGCATAACTTCCCGAGCGGGCTCTGGAGACAAGGAAACAAGCTTTCTCCTTCGGCTCTCTCCCTGCCGCACTGCTTGCTAGGGACTCACGCTGGGCACACCGCTCCATTTCTGACGGTGCCATCACATGTCCGGATGAGCACTATAATCAATCACGTTCCAAAAGGCATTTACCCACTTTTTAACTTGCTTAAGAGCCACCCGCCCAAAGGGTCAGCTAAAACAACGATCATCAAGTCTCGTTTGCTGGAGCCCCACCCATTCCATCTGAAACACCCAACTGCTTGAAGAAGCCTCGTGCCCCTTCACTGGGCATGCGGTGGGGCATCTCCAACCTTAGAATGCCGCCCCAGCCAAGGGCGGAAGGAGAACTCCCTCTGGCTGCGTTCGGCTCATACTGACAATACTACACTGAGCCAATGGGCATCACAAAAGGACACATTCGGGATATTCCCCTTATTTACTTACGCCTCACCAGAACCAGTACGAATTTAAAAACTGAACTTATCGACTGAAAACCTCGTGAAATAAAGGAAGGAGAAGCAGAGGTAGAGGGAGCAGACTGGGTACGTCACACCTAAAGAAGTTAGCTTCCAACCTATAGGAAAGAAAGGTTCCCCACGGAGAATCCTGCCATCTGTAAGACAAAACGTGTCAATTGCCCCCCTCCCCCATCCCAGTAATTGACAAGCACGTCAATCCCTGCAGCGCCACCTAGCGACTCAATAGAGTAATTGCTCTTTCAACGCTACTTCCAGGAGCTGTCCCTGGACCACCCGGGGCCCCAGGCTGCTGCGGGCCCCTCCAGCATCCACTACAGCCCTCCCTGGCTTGGAACGCCCGTTCTCGCCGACACAATTACATACCACCCTGAGCCTCCAGGAGCTAAGTTCTTTTCCACAACATCTGTGCTCAGCAGCACCTCCTGGGGCTTTCCCAGTCTCACACCCCCAGGGAGGTCCACAAACCCTTTGCTTTGCCTGGAAAAAAAAGTTAACTGCTGGTATGACACGTTCGAGCTCAGCCCCCTACCCAGACAGCCCACCCTTTCTCGTTTCTCCCTCAGAGGCTTCTAGAAAACAGCCATCTGCTCCCTCCCAGTCTACATCAAGTCGCCGGGGGACACACAGTCTCACCCCAGGCCATAATACAGCCACCCCTTAGCACCGCTTCCTTCTCCCTCCATACAAACCAGGGCACCCCCGCCTCTTAGCCAGCATCTCATGGGGTGCCCTTTTAGAAAGCTCTTTCTCTTTCCTCCTCCGCCGGGCAGATTAACAGCCGTGGCTCGTCACCCTGACACCTCACTGGTACAACTTTCAAAATCAGCAGTCTCATCCCACAAAACTTTTTCTCTCCACCCTCCCCTCTCTTGTCTTCTCCCTCCATAACCCACTTAGCTCCCCACAACTCCCCACAGCGTGCCTCTTTCTCCCAAAGACCCCTTCTTTCTTTCCCCGAGCCATCCTTAGCACCCCCACCCAAATCCCTCTGATGTCTGTCTGCTCTACGTGCAACCACAATCTACACTCGCATCCCTCCTGCGCTACGCCTCCCAGGAGCCAGGAAGAGCGGCTTTTATAGGGTTCGGGACGCATCACTGAGTTGACTCTATCGGAGCGACTCCTCCGCGGCCGCTAAAAAAGAGTTCCTCTCGGGCCTTTGTCCTTGGCTTCACTGTTTTCCAACTCTTCCTCCAAGCCCCTCCCCCTTCCAATTCGAAGTTGAAGACTCGAAATCCGGGGTGGGGGGAGCCCCGTACCCCTTCCACCGCACTGCACCCCTGAAGGCTTTGCAGTTCTCTGATACGAGACCCAAACTTAAGGAGAATTACTAGAAACATTTTTGAAAAGGTGTCACGTCTCCTGTCAAGCCTTGGGGACCTCGATTTGTGTGGGGAGCCCCTCGAACCCCACCCTAAACCCGAGCTTGCCGCTCTCAAAACAAAGGGAAAAAAGAAGGTCCGGCGCTCCCCAGGGCGCGGCCGGCGGCCGGATCTCTACGGAGGAACCGCATAACTTGGAGGGGGCTCCGTCCTCCAAGAAGCGGGGGAAGGGTGGGGGAGGAAGAATGCACAGTCATCCTGGGGCCGTGTGCAGAGAGGCGCGTGACTCCGGGCGGGGGCGGCAGCAGCGGCAGCCTCATGATTAGTCCGTTGACGTCAGCGCCGCCTCGCGCTTCCCGGAGGCCAGGGCAGGAGGCTCAGCGCGCGTGCGCAGAAAGAGCCCAAGGCCTGCAAAATGGGGGTTGGAGACGGGGTGGAGCCTTGGTTAGAGAAAGAAGAGCGGGTCAGGAGTCAGAGCAGGAAACTGAGGAAGGAGGAGTTATCGCTCCCCTACCCCTGGCAGAGAGGGGGAAGGGCCTTAGACCCTGGCAGTCCAGTTCCCCCCCATTGTACACAAGGGGAAACTGAGGCCCAGAGAGGGGAAGGGGCCTTAGGCCTCAGTCAGTCCCATCCTCTTCTACTCCCCTGCCCAGTGAGCTCCCATGGCTCCCTATTACTTCCAGGGCCAAATAAAAACTCAGACATTTAAAGCTCATCCATAACCTCGTCTTGACCCACCTCTCCAGCCCCACCTCCCACCTTCAGGAAGCCTTCCCCTCCCGGATAGCCTTCCTTGTCCTCCCGCAGGCTGTCCCGTGTCATCGTCGTCGTCCCTCCCCCCCAAGAGTGGGAGCTGGGCACGGCCAGGGACTGTCACAGAGGCAGCCTGAACACATCCTTGTTTGGGGCCAGCCTGATGTGTCATCCGGGGGGCTTTCCTTATACTGAGGCCTGGCAAAGGAAGGCATTGCCTTGGCCTGGTAGTCACCAAGGTGACTTGTCACCTAGGCCTTCAGAGTCACCTTTACCTCCCAGCCTCCGTTAACAAGCTGTAGCACTGGGGGAGGAGCGTCAGAATTCAAACAAATCTTCCATAAGCTGCTTGGAATGAAAACATATAAAATGCTCGTTTTCCGCCTGGCCATGAGCTCAAGGGCCCCTCTACGGAAAACCGCCTAGACTGACCCTCTCCTCCAGAAGGTTACCTTCTCCCCGGGGACACCCTGCAGAAAGGGGGCGTCGGGGTTGGACGGTGAGGGTGATGGGAGCCCTCCAAGGGGCCTGTGGGCCTGGATCTGGACAAGGAGGATTCCTGGGACAGGGTGCTTGGGAAATCAGAAGATCTCTGTAGAACCCTGGGGAGTGAGGAGGAGAAAACAAGCATTTATTAAGCACCTTCCATGGCTGGGCACTGTGCTGAGCACCATCTGTACAACTCTTCCAGGTAGGGGCTATTGATACCCCCATTTTGCAGCTAAGGAAACCGAGGCAAACAGGTTAGGTGACATTCAGTCTTTTTTCCATTGTGTCTGACTCTCAGTGACCCCATTTGAGATTTTCTTGGCAAAGATACGAGAATGGTTTGTCATTTCCTTCTCCAGCTCCTTTTATAGATGAGGAAACTGAGGCAAACAGGGTTAAGTGACTTGCCCAAAGTCACCTGGCCAGTAAGGGTCTGAGGCCAGATTTGTACTTAGGTCTTCCTGACTCCAGCTATGACCCTCTAACCACTGAGCCATCTGGCTGTCCCAGGATCATCAAATTTACAGTTGGGAAGGACTTTTAGTTCCTGCCAACCCATTTCCTTCAATTGTTTAAAAACAGAATCTTGAGGGGCTCCTTAAATGGACAGGGAAGTCCATTTAATTCAATTCTCTTATTTTACAGAGGAGTAAAGAAGCCAGAGAAAGGAAAGGAAGGAAGGTGGTATGGGATGGCAGGATTTGAACCCTGGATGTCTGACTTGCAAGCCAGAGTTCTGTCCACAGCATTAAGATGCCTCCTCATCTAATTCTATGTCTCCAATTTACAGACTGGGGAAACTGAGGCCAGGAGAGGGGAAATAACTTGCCCAAGGTCACATGGGTGCTAAGTAGCAAGAAAAGATTTGAACTCATATTCTAGGGCTCTAAATACAACACTTTGCCTAGTAATACATTATAATCTCAAGTTTAGATGAGTTCCTGGGGGACGGTTGGGGAGGGGCAGGGGCTCTGAGGCTAATAAGGACTCTTACAAATCTAACAAGATACAAATGAAAGGGATCCTAGAATCTAAGAGTCCTAACCATTTTGTGTCCTGGCCCCCTTGGGCAGGCTGGCTGTCTGGGGTAGCCAAAGGACCCCTTCTCAGAATAATGTTCTTAAACCATTAGAGGAAGTGCTAAGTTTCAGTTAGATGAGTGAAATTAACCATGTAAGATTTTCCCCACCCAAATTCACTGACCCCCTGAAATGTATCCACAGAACCCAGACAGCCAAGTCGAAGGCCCCCTGATCTACCCCAAGCCCGCCCTACCCAGCCTCCCATTTGGACATAAGAGGCCAGTGACTGCCCAAGGTCACATGGATGGAAGGTCATGGGGCTGTGGTCTCTGAGTCTCTCCCCACCCCAGCCCTCTTGGAATGTCCGCACCAGGGGCCTGGGCACTGCCATGCTGCTCTGGTAGAAGGAGAGGGAGTGGGCCCCACTAGGCAACACAGGACCTCACCCTTGGCTGGGGAAGGGAGGCCATTTGGGGTAATGGCTCTGCTGCTTGAGTCCTTCCACGTCAAGGACAAACAAAAAACAACCAGGAGTCCCTGGTAACTGGGAGGGGAAGCTGGCTGAAACGATAAACAGAGAAGACCAAATATGGTGTCCTAGGCAGTGGTTCAAAGATGGTTCTTGCTGTGGGCAGCCGAAGTCACTGGGCTGGGAGCCAAGGAGCCACGCCCCTCACTGCCGGGAGTTGGTGACTCAGTGCCAGGAAACACTGAACAACAGGGGAGGCAGAGGACAAAGCTCTCAGCAGCTGCCTGCCCCACCCCTGGGCCTCCACTGAGCCTGCAAGGCCATTTATTTAGGGAGGAGGGGGTGGGGCAGCATCGGGGACCAAGCCCACTGCAGCTCTCCTGGAGTCTGAGGCCTTGCTTCAAAGCCTGCCTGGCCAGTTTACTCCCCACCCTGAAGATGAGGGGGCTGGATTCCGGGGCCTCTGGGGGTCCCTTCTAACTCTGCATCTAGCTGAGAAAGAAGGCCCTCTCCAAATGGCTTACCCTGCCAGTCTATCAGTGGGCACAGTGCCTTGGACCCCACATACTGAGCCAGCTGGAGGTCTTGGCCTGTTCTAAAAACCCAAAGGCTCAGCATCTTTTCTGAATTTAGGAAACAGACTTCTGTGGGGTCACCAGAGCAGAGACTGCCCAGCAAATGGGCCAGCTTGGGTCAGACCTGAAGAAAGAAACTCCTCAGAGAAAGAAATTCATGAAGGCCCTCAGGGTCTCCTCCAGTCCTCTGATTCTCAGGGTTCCAGCCAGCATGAGCCCCAAAGAGCTCTGTCTCCAAGAGAAGGGGTTGTTATTGTTAGTGTTTGTAGGAAGATGAGGCAGGACTGATATTTCTGGCAAGGTGAAGTGAGGAGGGGGTGATTGGCCGGGGAGGGAAGAGCCCCTCTCCGCCTCCCAGAACCCCCTGGAGAAGTTGGGGGAGAAGGGCGGGTCAATTCCCAGCTGTCATTCTGGAAAACAAAGTGGAATTACGCAAGAGAAGATATCAGGTTGTTCTGACTTTTTGTCCCTACCAACCCTTCATCTGAGGCTATAAACCAGTCAGCAAGAAAAATCCCACAGGAACAAAAGTGGTCCTCGCTCATAGCCACAGAAAATCTGGAACTGAAATAGGTGCGCAAGAGCAGAGAAACAGGAGAAACTGCTCTGGGTGCCAGGGCCCTGTTGGGTCTTTTCTGTCTTTGTCTACACACCGCCCAGCACTGCCCAGCACTGCCCTGCACAAAGCAGGCGCCTAACACAGGAGTTGTAATTGATTGGTGGGTGGATGAAGGGGAGGAGGGAAGGTGAGAGACACAGAGAGAAAGAGACAGGGAGAGAGAGACACACACAGGTGGACAGACTCAGAGAGGGACAGACAAGAGACACAGAAAATGGAAGGGGGGAGGGGAGGAGAGAGACACAGAGATAAAGAGATGGGAAAGAGAGACACACAGAAAGAGAAAGAGGGAGAGACACCCAGAGAGGGAGAGAGACAGAGTCTCAGAGAGGGACAGAGAAAGTGGAAGGGAGTGGGAGGAGAGATGGGGAGAGAGAGCTTGGGAAAGGACATGCTGCCCTCTCTGGTTAGTAATCTGATGACTTGGGGGTTTTTTTGTATTGTTTTTTTCCCCAGGAAATTATTTGTAGTTTGTTGGGAAGTAATGGTTTTGTCATCAGAAACAGAAGGTAGCGACAGATAAACACAAGGCAAGGAGACAGTAATCAGATGAGATATTTGCAAAGAGGTCAGCACAGCGTGCAGTAGGCTCACAATAAAAATGCTTATTTCCTAGGGGGAAAGCCAGCCCAGATGAGAGAGGTGTTTATGAGGATGAGGGAGGGGTACCTGGGTGTGGAGAGATGTGGGGAAGGGGGGTGGTCTGGAAGACACTAAACTCAGGCTGCCTCCAGCCTGCAGGTAGAAGCAGCTGGGCAGGACAGGATGGATGGCCTGGGATGGGATGGCCCATTCCTGCCGGAGCTGGGGCCACAGCTACAGTGTTTTCCATCCTCCCTCCCTCCTCTTCTCCCTCCTGCCCCTTCCTCCTTCCTCCTTCCCTACCCCTAGGTATCCCTCCGCCCTTGTCCCTCCTTCCTTCCCCCTCCTAGAGCAGGAAGGTAAACAGGGAGGGGAAGGGGGAAAGGGATGTTAGCCTTTTCACAACTCGTTTCTTCTGTCACCAGCTTCCAGTGGGTGTCAGAGGTCATTCATTACCTTTTTGGGGGAGATGAAACCACCCCTCATTCTAGCAGCTAACAGATGACCACACACAGACCAGCTGCTAGGCCTGCCGGGAGAAAGCTGGGTAACTTTCCGCGTGAAGTCAGGTCTGCAGCTCTGACTGGGGGGGGAGCAGAGGGAGACAGAGGAGCCCGGCGCCCAGACCCTGGGATGCTCATGTTGGCATCGTCTGGGGGGGGCCTTCCCAATGCCTGGGGTGGGGCAGCTTCTCATGTGGCTTAGTGGGAATGTCCCAGGGACTGGGCCAGGACCACAAGCCGTGCTCTGGACCTTGGCCAGGGGCCAGGAAGAAGGGGTGGCTACCTGAAATCATCCCAGGAAGGCCGGCCTAAGAAACAGCAGATGGGCCTGCCTCCGCAGGAAGGAGCTGCCCCACAGAGCTGAGATGATCCTGGGGAAACAGGAGTTAGCTAGCTAAGTCATCTGTTAAGGGCTTGCTCTCTGCCAAGCACTGTGCCAAGCCACTGGGCATCTCAGCACGTAAACCAGACAGTTGTTCAGTCACGTCTGACTCTTCATGACCCCATTTGGGGTTTTCTTGGCAAAGATATTGGAGTAGTTTGCCATTTTCTTATCCAGTTTATTTTATAGATGGGGAAACTGAGGTAAACTAGGTGAAGTGACTTGCCTAGGGTCGCACAGCTAGGAAATGTGTTCGGATTTGAATGTAGGTCTTCCCGATTCCAGGCCTGGCACTCTATCCACTGAGCCACCTAGCTGCCTGCAGAAAGTTCCTATCCTCAAAGAACTTACCTTATGATGAGGAAAGGGAGCTAGGAGAGGGGAGGGGGGAAGGGATGAGCCCTGCCTGCCCCAGCTGGGTTCAGAAATGGTGGCCAGAAAGTGGAGGCCTGTTTGGGGGCGAGATAGGTTGAAAACTCATCTATGAGAAGCCAGGGTGGTCCCTGGGGCAGAGTCAGGGTTGGGGCGAGGAGAGGGGAGGGCAGCAATGGGGGCAGCATGATTTGTTAACCAAGATTTGAAAAGATGTAACCATTAAACACCTATTGTATGCCAGGCAGTATGCTGGGTGCTGGGGATACTGAGGCACAAGGGAAACAGTCCCAGCCCTGGAGTTTACCTTTCACTGGGGGGGGGCAGCAGGTGCAGGTATGGAGAGACAGACACGAGTAGCTAATATTCTTATAGCACCTACTATGTGTCGGGCACTGTGCTCAGCGCTTTGCAGATATATCACGTGATCCGCACAACAATCCTTTGAGGTAGGTGCTGCTATCATCCCCATTTTACAGGTGAGGAAACTGAGGCAAACAGACCCAGAGCCCACAAGGTAAGCTGGAAGCTGAGGGGAATTGGGGGGCTCTGCAGTAAGTTGAATCATGAAGGAAAACAGAGATTCCAAGAGGCAGAGGTGAGGGGGACAGCCTTGGGATCCAGGCCTGGGGCTCATCAATCAGTGGGTCCAGAGGTGCCGGGTGGGAGATCCCCCATGTGAGGTAGAACCACCCAGGCCAGTCACATGTGCAGGAAGGCCGAGAAGGTGCCGGCCAGCCCCCTCCCCTCTTTGGAGATGGGGCGCTGTGGGCAGGTTGAATCTACCCTTGCAGTCCTGACTTGGCCACAGAGGTGGCTTTTTTCCCTCCAGCTTTTAAAATCATTGTTCCAAGGGAGGGCCTTCTGGAGAGGACAGGCGAGAGAGAAGTGTTCAGGAGAAGGGGGTGATGTCAACACAAGCTCTCAGTGAAAACTAGACTTAGAGTAAACGCAGTGCCCAGAACTGCCTTGTGGTCGCTCCCTTGCAGCCAAGTGGCCCTGGCTGCTTGGAGATCATGGTCAGTATGGTTCTCTTTCTCTGGCTGTGGATGGACAAAGCAAACTGGGGGCCTGAACCAGTGGCCGTTTTGAATAATAGAGCCCACTTCCCAGCGTGGAGGGCAGCAGGGGTTAGTGGGAAGGAGGCTGGACCTGCGACCAGAGGACTTTCTGTTCCCGTTCCAGCTTTGCTGTGTGACCTGGGCAAGTGGCTTACTTTCTCTGAGCCTGTTTCCTCCTTTGCAAAATGGGGGAGTTGGTGTAGATGACCTCTAAGATGCTTTACAGATCTAGATCTCTGAGCCTGGGATTTTAATGCTATATTCGACCTGTAACCACTGAGAAGCCCCTGAGTGAAAGTAATAGGGGACTGGGGAAGGAGGGAAGGAAGGAGAGAGGGATGGAGGGGGAAATCAGGAAAGCATTTTTGAAACAGGGAGATTTTAAAGGAAGGAGACATGCTTTCAATGGTGATCGATTGATTGGAGAGACACAGTCAATCAATGAGTTTTTACCAACCACCTACTATGTGCCCGGCATTAGGGAATCAAAGAAGACAAGCTCCAATAAGGAGTAATGCTGTGGAAAGGGGTCGGGGAGGAGAGGGGGAGCCCCCCCATCAGCTATTCAAGGAACAATTATTAATGACCTATATAAAGGAGAGGCTTTGTAGGAAATGTGCTTACAATGCTTGGCTTGGAGCCACCTGCTATGTGCCGGGCTTGGAGGGCCTGATGTCAAACGTGGCCTCCAATGCTGTCTGTGGGCGGCTCCTACAACCTCTCCTTTGCTCAGGGCATGGATGATGGATAGGCTGCCCCCACAGAGGGAGGGCCTGTACCCTGGGAGCTCTTAGGCCTACAAAATCACAGGAGTACGGGTGTGCTGAAGGGCCTCTGAACGCTGGAACATTCCCGCCCCCAATCCTTTCATCAGAAATGCCAGCACTGAAAACCTTAGAACTGATGAGTCACAGACCAGCTCTGTGTCTTGGTCTCTGTGTCTCTGACTCCAGCTCCCTCATCTCGGGGAGAGGTTTGCCCTGGTTCACATTCCAACAGTTTGGTCTCAATTGTCACCCCCCAAATAAGGTGACTTCCTGTCTCTGTCTCTACCATTTAGAGACAGAGGGAAGGGAGTTCTGGGGGCACATAGGATACTGGGGCTTTGTCACTGGCTTCCTCCCTATGTGGTCTAGGCCAAGTTCATTCCCAACCCTAGGCCTCAGTTTCCTTCTCTGTAAGATGGGGGGTGGGGCGTGTTTTAGAGATCACTGACACTTCAGATTTCAGGGAATCGGGGAACTTTTCAGTTTCCTTTGCAAGCCCACGTCTTTCATTATACGCCCCTGTCAGCCCTCAGTCTGGAAGGTCCTGGCTCTCCAGTCATTCCACAATGTTCTGTTCAGAGCTTGTTTCCTCACTGCCTGCTCTGTGCCTGGCACTGTGCTGAGCTCTGGGGGTGCCCTGCCCTCCCCTTCCCGGGCCTGCATTCCATGGGAGAAAGGACAGATTCACTGAAGATAAGTGTATCGACAGACTAGTGACAAAGTAATGTGGGGAGGAGGGTGAAGAGACAGCACTGTGGCTGTCTGGGAGCTCTGGGAGGATCCACAGAGGCCCAGGGATGAGGTGAAGATCCTCAAAGGGAGCCAGGAGGCCCAAGAGGCCAACCCCCACTGTTCAATTATATCCCATTTCTCCCCAAACAAACCCTCCAGGGGCCTTAGTTCCAACTTTTTTTTTTATTAAAAATTTTTTTTATAATTTTTAGGCATTTGGGGTTAAATGACTTGCCCAAGGTCATGCAGCTAGTGTGAAGTGTTTGGTCTAAGGACAGATTTGAATTCAGGTCCTCCTGACTCCAGGGCTGGTGCTCTATCCACTTCCACCACCTAACTGCCCCCCCCCTTCTTTAGCTGGGCATTCAAGGCCCTCTGCAACCTGTGACATCCTACCTTTGTATCCTGATCCCCTATGGCTCCTTCTATGAACTTTGCATTCCAGCCAAACTGGACAAAATTCTGTGCTCTCCTGCCACAGCCTCTGCTGCCTCTCGTCCCTCCCTGGATCTTGAGTTGCTATGTATTTTTTGCAATATTTTATTTTTCCCCCAATTATATATAAGGACAATTTTCAACATTCAGTTTTTGAAAGATTTTGAGTTCCAAATTTTTCTCCTTCCCTCCATAAGATGGAAAGCAATCTGATACAGGTTATACATGTGCAGTCACATAAAACATATTTCCAGATTAGTCACATTGTGAAAGAAGAAACAGAACAGAAGGAAAAAACCATGAAAAACCCCCACAAGGGGTGACAATGTCAT